TCGTGCCTGTTGAGACAATCTCGTGCCTGTTGAGACAAACTCGTACCTGTTGAGTCAATCTCGTGCCTGTTATGCGCTATTTCATAATGATCAGTTTCGAGGCTAACAGGCACGGTACGAGTAAGAAACGTCCCACTTCCAACTTGCCAATAACAAACTATCTTACACTACTAAAAATTAATAATAATAATAATAATAATAATAATAATAATAATAATAATAATAATAATAATAATAATAATAATAAACAACATGCTATCATTGGTGTACATAACTTATAGTAACAAATAAAATAATTGGTATAATATCGTTTATTTTCCATAAAATTTGTTGCAACGTGCTTTGCTCCACTAGTTAAATGAAATTTTATTCAGAAGTCGGGAGTTCGATCCTGTGAAGCTGCAACCTCCATTATTGCGGACCCAGGATTTTGGAAGATGGATACACTATTACGAAGAGGTGGATCTGTAATATAAACTTTATGGATTCAACTTTTAGTTCTTACTATTGCACCAATTACTGCATTTTCGGAATTATAAGTTCAAAGTTATTATTTTTTAAATAGCAATTTCCTTATATCTATTTTTATACTCCGTATAAAAAATATTGAGATCAGTTAAACCCAATGACTATATATATAACAACAACAACAGCCTAGTGAAATTCCACTAGTGGGGTCTGGGGAGGGTAGTGAGTACGCAGACCTTACCTCTACCCCGAAGGGATAGAGAGACTAATTCCGAAAGACCCTCGGCTCAAGAGAACAAAAGACAAATGTAGATAATATTAGTATCACCACAGAAATCATAAGAGAGTCATAAGAAAAATAGGAACAACATGAAATATGGAAGAAAGATACAAAGCAAAACCGATATCTAGTAAATAGGTCATGCACTGAAAAATAGTAAGACACAACATTGCCACTAGCTATCTTAGACAAAAACCCTACCAGACTAGTCTCACAGTGGTATTAGTAAGGCAAAACTCAACTAACTCCTAACCTACAACTTTAATGCTCGACCTGCACAACTTCTTATCAAATGTCATGTCCTCAAAAATCTGAAGCATCGCCATATCATGTCTGATCACCTCTCTCCAATACTTCTTAGGTCGCCCTCTACCTCTTCTCGTTCCCTCTACAACTAGCCACTAACACCTCCTTACCGGAACATCTGGGCTTCTTTTCTGAACATGCCCAAACCATCTGAGTCTCGCTTTCCACATATTATCATCAATGGAAGCTACATGCACCTTCTCCCGAATGTCATTATTCCTAATTTTATCCATCATAGTGTGCCCGCACATCCACCTCAACATGCTCATTTCTGTTACTTTCATCTTCTGGACATGTGAGTTCTTAACAGGCCAACACTCAGCCCCATACATCATTGCCGGTCTAACCACCGCTTTATAGAACTTACCTTTGAGAATTGGTGGCACTCTCTTAACATATAGAACTCCAGACGCTAACCTCCACTTCATCCATCCTACCCCAATACGATTTGTGATATCCTCGTCGATATCCCCTCCCCTCTAGATAACCGACCTAAGGTACTTGAAGCTACCTCTACTTGGGATGACCTATGAGTCAAGCCTCACATCCACGCCCACTTCCCCCGGCTTAGCGCTGAACTTACACTCCAGGTATTCCATCTTCGTCCTGCTCAGCTTGAAACCCTTAGACTCAAGAGCCTGTCTCCAAACCTCCAACCTCTCATTAAGACCGGCTCGCGACTCATCAACCAAAATTATGTCATTAGTGAATAACATTCACCATGGCACCTCCCCTTGATTATGGTGCGCCAACGTGTCCAACACTAAGGTGAATAAGAACGGACTGAGTGTAGAACCTTGGTGTAACCCCATTACAATCGAAAGATGGTCAGAGTCTCCACCTACTGTCCTAACCCGAGTCTTAGCCCCATCGTACATGTACTTAATCGCCATAATGTACGAGATAGGCATACCTTTTGCCTCCAAGTATCTCGAGAGAACTTTTCTATGAACCTTGTCATACGCTTTCTCTAGGCCAATAAACACCATGTGCATATCCTTCTTCCTCTCTCTATACAGTTCCACTAACCTCCGAACAAGGTGTATAGCTTCAACCACCTTCTCCCACATTTTTATGGTATGACTCAGTAATTTAATACCCCTATAGTTTTTACAACTCTGGATATCACCTTTGTTCTTATACAATGGAACTACTGTACTCCATATCCACTCCTCCAGCATCCTCTTCACCTTAAAAATAAC